CTCGTCCCACGTGTCCCTCTCCTTCCTCTATATATGTGTCTGTCTCCTCCCAACCCATCTCTATTTCCGACACTTTTTACAATGGCTGGCCGTCGGCATTTCTGTTTACAGTACATACGGCAATTAGTTTGCTCATTTGCAGAAGATGATGCAACGATGTCATGGGCAGAAGTTTTGGAACATCAAGTGAGAGGATAGTAGAGAAAGTGGCTTGTTTTTTTGGAATGACATCAACCATTACCTAAGATCCTCCGAATTTACGCTCTGTTTGGCAACAAGGAGGGTGCAAATTGCAAGGGGGTGCAAGTTGAGGGGTAAATTGCTGGGGGGTGCAAAATGCTGGGGTTGTAAGTGGAGGGGTAAATTGTTGTTTGGATGAAAAAGTAGGGGGTGCAAATAGAGTGAAAGGTAAGTAATTATATTATTTTAAAGTAGATTTTAATATTTTAAAATATATTTTAAGATTATAAAATAGATTTTAAGATTATAAAATAGATTTTAAGATTTTAAAATATTATCATAAAATAATAAAATAAATATTACTATATAATAATAAATATACTTTACTAAAAATAGTTATTATATAATAATGCTCAAATAATAATTAATTATAACAATTGTAATAATCATTGATCGAGCGATCTCAAAACTCGAAGCTCAACTCGTAACTGGTCATCCTATATAGGGTTTTCGTGTCTAGTTTAATCTTAAATTGTCAAACTTAGTCAAACACGTTAGAATTTGTAAGTTTTAACTATTTGGTCAAATAAACTGAGTTAACCAAACAATTTCTCTCTATCTTTTCCACAAACACCTCGTATCTCTAATTTTCAATGCAAATTCGATTCAACCAAGAGATCTAGATTTGACTTGACGAACATTGATAAACTTGTTTCCAGAGTCAAATGGTCAACCCCGAATAATGTTTACATTAATGATATTTATAAAAAGATGAAATTGATAATATTAATTATTATATAATTATATATAACACAATTAGAAAAATAAAATTCCATAATTCCCCCTCCCCCTCTCTTCCTTCCTTCCCTTGCACCCCAATTCGGGGGGTAAGCCGAAACAGTAAATTTGCACTCCCGTTTTGCACCCCCCTACTGTTCCAAATTAACCAAACAAGTGCAAATGTGTTGGAAACTGTGTTTACCCCTCACATTTGCACCCTCCTCCCATTTACCCCTCTTCCCAAACAGAGTGTAAAGTGAAGTGAAGTTACCCAACAAACGAAAGCTTTTAATTCTAAAGCATACAACAACCATATTTTAAGCGTCATTCTATTATTTAAGTCAGTCCTTATGGATATTGATTTTAAGTCCAACTGTCCAAGCCATTAAGTTATAGTGACACTGACATGAACATCATTCAATAAGGGACAGACCTCTCGTAAGAGGCTATGTCATGCCACGAAATTGTATAAGAAACACTAAGTATGTGAAGGATGTGCCGATTCACGAAGAGGGCCATGCCCGTCTAGAATATAGAAGCACATGCCACTTCACGAGAATGGGCATGAACGCAAACAAGAGGCCCTAGCCACGGCCGCGAATGAAGAGGCCATGCCGCCTCACGAGAGGGGGCCATGAACACGAATGAGAAGGGTGTGGTGGTGGAGCATTATATCACTAGTGACTAAGTCCCAAGAGGTGGTCATGAGACAAAAAGGCAATGGACGTGAGTAAGAAGTCCATGGCCGCCTGGCAAGAGGACCACAACCCCCTTTGTGAGACACCACGTACTTATCAAAAGACTAGCATGACACGAGATTTGGAACAAGACTAGCCGAGACAAGCTACACTCCAAGACCCACGACGGTTCCAAGAGAAACACCAAGGCAGTTGAAGGTCCGGAAGGAGTAACCACCACTCCGAGGAAGCAGGGAGCGGTTCTTTTTGGGATTTATCTAAGAGGCGGTTTTCTACAACAGTTATCTTTCCATGGCTATAAATAAGAGTAAGGGTCCACAGAGAGAAGGTTCCAAAACCAGACATTTGACTCCTACGCCAAACTTTATTCTTTTCCTATGCAAGTAGTCGTAGTCGTAGATTGACGCTCTCATTGATCCTCTTTAGGAGTAGAGGTAATTTAATGTATATTTGTTCCCAAAAATTCTATCAAATCAAACACTCTCGTTCGAACTGTGTTTGAAGAGGTTTAAACCGTGTCATAGTAATCGTCTGTTTAAAGTCAAATGTGCAACCGATTTTGTTCAACGCAGGTTTTCTCTCCAGAAAACAACATATCAGTTGGTAGTCCGTGGAACTGGCCTATAAACTATACGATGAAGGAATGACTCAACTAAAAGACGACACTCCCGAAGTAGAGGTCCTCCAATCGAGTCCACCAGCATTCATTGACTAAGTTGACGGATTACAACTTTGACATAGCCTTCGAAGATAATTCAAGACAATCTTGTGATATTGCAAATGATAAGGCATCCCTAACTGCTAGTAATTCTGCGAGATAAGGGTGAGAGATACCCTGATGTCGAACCAACATGGCCATGAGCACATGCCAGAGGGGCATGGTAGACACCGAGGGAATCAGGTTAGAGGGGCATGGAGAAGGGTGTTTGTGTATTAGAAAACATCAACTCGGATTATCATGCCTTAGCAACTGTAGTTGAATGAGGCGGAAACCCGGAACAAAACTTCTGAAATGGTAGTCAATGATTTGGTGAGGACCTCAACAGGTTGATAAGGAGTTGGAAGGTAGCACTCGTAATTGTTGTTTGTTGACGGGGATCACGAACAAACTGAAATTTTATCTCCATGTGCTGGGGTAGTGAACCACATTCGCGAGATGAGACTTGGGATGCTATAAAAAATGGAGCATGCGAAACGACGAGCCCAGGATGTTGTCGATCTGATGACCCAAAAGGTTAGGGATGTTGACCAGGCCGTGCAGGGTAAGGCCCTATAAGCCACCATGAGTATCCAGGAAAGGTCTAAGAGCCCGGGATGTAGTTAACCTTAGTTGATAACACTATTGATTTGGGTTCGATCTGAAATCCTCTATTTAATCTTTTTGTGAGCGAAAGAACTTGTGAGAAGCGGGAGCGGGTGTTCCCCGTGACCTACATTATGACGTCCAAATTAGTACGATATACGAAGTAATAGTGTATCTGAACGTAGAAAGAAAGACTTCAAAAGGGGAAGAAAGGATCCTCTATCTAGGAGAATTTAGCCATCTTATATATGTGTCTGGGCTTTTTTTAGTGGACTTGGGTTCAAAATGAAATGCAATTGAAAAATGAGTTTAGATCTCTTGGCGACATAGCTATTTATCACATTAGACATTTAATGCAATATCTTTACATTAAGAAAAGTAGTTTAATGGAATTTTGAATCACCGTATATGAATTTGTATTTTTGGTTGTTTCTTTCTAATTACTTTTCCATGTTCTTATGTGAGAAAATTGAAAATAGTAAAAAAGTTTGTGCTTTTCGTGAGAAGCTTGTAGGGGTGGCAATACGGTTTCAGTTTTGCGGTTAAACTTCTAACCGCACCGAAATCGCACTTTTTGTGGTTAACCAAAAACTTAGTAAGAAGGCTTTTATGCGGTCGCATTTAAAGATATTTGATGTTTTACGGTTAGCCTCAACTTCAACCAAATCAGAATTTCAGAGTTCCTTCTAGTTCCACATTGCACATGTTGTCGTCTTCGAAATTCACTTTTCAAAACACAAGAGCTCCCCGCGAGATACCAACGGGCACGAAGACACACAGTGCCTTCATAGACCTCGATCATAGCATAGAACCATTTACGATGTGGTGTGGTCGCGGGTGACATATATGACTCAATTTCGGTTGCGGTTAACCACAAATTTTGGTGCGGTTAACCACAACCGCATCGAATGCCAGACGTGAAAGCTTGGAATAGCAAAGAAGATACCTCATCCACCCGTTCTTACCTCATCAATTAGTGAAAAGGCCCATTATTGGGTTAATTGCATGGTTGGTCACTGAGATTACAAAAAAACGTTCATATTTGATCATTGAAAATATTTAAATCCAATCTTGGTCACTCAAATTAGTAAATCCAATCTACACCCCCATACCCTACCCAACCTCACCACCAGAACACAACCTCCGGCGGCCCTCTTGTTGGCGATGTGCTGGTCCGTACTCCGACCACGAGAGATTCCTAAGCCGACGACCACAAAAAGGAACCACCTCTTCATCCCTTCCAACGAAGCAGTCATACATCAACGTCGACCAGTAAAATCCCAAACTCCACACGATCTCCACTCCTCTTAGCATTAGAGACAAAGTGCTCCCTCTGGTTTCCAACACCTTATTCCTCAACTAATTCCCGAGCCACAAAAATGATGAATCAAATCTAACAAAATCCAACTTGCCACTACTACTGGATTCGAGAGCTGGAAATTGGGGAAGTGAAATGAACCTCATAGATCGGAATTACAAGGAACAATTCATTATGTCTCCGGGGAGTACTTGCGGAAAGGCACGTAGACGCCCCGCTCGAAGTCGAGTTGCTCCATGGCCTTGCTCAATTGCACAGCTCCGTTGGCTTCATTCGCAACCGCCACGCTCTTGCTCGTGCTCGCTCCATTTCCATTTCTAGGACCGGTGGTGGCGGTAGCAGCAGCCGAAGCTCGAAACGTCGGCGACAACCTGCTCCTCGAAACCACGGAGGAGAGAGCCGGAGTACGGACCAACACCTCGCCAACAAGAGGGCCGCCGGAGGTTGTGTTCTGGTGGTGGTGAGGTTGGTTCGGGTAGGGTATGAGGTGTGTAAAAAAGAAATTAGGTTTTTTATTTTTTTGTTTTTTAATGAATGTAATAATGAGGTGGAAAATATAAAAGTTTATTTTTAATAATTTTTTAGTTGCCACTTCACATATTTAACGGTCAACTATGAAAGTTGACTGCCACGTAAACTAGAGTTAACGGAAATGGACGGAGAGTGACCAAACTTGAACAATTTTATTAATTTGAGTGACCAAGATTGAATTTAAATATTTCTAGTGCCCATACTTGTTCAATCGATCTCTCTCAACTTGAATCCCGTGAGGAGGGGCTTGGAAAGTTTTAGTATAAGTAGGAGGGATTCGCAAATCCTCCGGGCGTAGGGCGCGCACTACTTTGAACCCAAATACATTACCTACAATGAAAGTAAACATGTTAGTAACATAACCTTCTTCAAAAAGGTCTAAGGGGTAAGCTACATAAGCAATAAATTGACTTTCTTCTTCGGGAACGGGTTCAATGTGGTAGCATCGTCCTTTATAACGATCAAGGCTGGTAAGCCAAACATCTGACTACATTTTCCAACTGAAATGGAAAATTACGACCGAAATTGAATTATACATCCAAAATAACCCTAAGAAGACATGATCCCAAGCGGATACTTGACATGTACCTCCTCTTCCAGGTCCATCGCAAGGGAAGCGAAAACCAATCTAAGTGTAGTCCTTGGTGTATTGATTTTTTTTTTGGAAATAGAGTGTGTGCGAGTTGTTTTTTTCAAGAATAAGCTGGATTGAACCAGCTGTATTTTTTTGTTTTAATTATATTAATTAAAAAAAGTACATGATCCTGCGAATTATCAAACATGAACTTTTTTATAATCTTAGTGACAATTAACCCGCTCATCTTTATCTTTACAAATATTAAAGCACTTTTAGATTTACACCACTGCCACGTACCCCTTCCTGCAATTAGAAGATGTCCACGTCAGCCTCTTTATACGTTCCGCCCTCTATCATGATTCCGATGAACTACTCTGCCCCTAAAAAAATCTCCACACTTTTTCTCCTTCATCCTTCCCTGTAACTGTTATCCGCCCGCGCCTGCTCCAATCCAACTTGTCTGCCGCCTCCAGATTCCGCCACCAATTAGCCTCTTGCACCACTCCGAAGCCGAGCCCGTGGAAATCACCCATTCACACCGTCAAATCCTCCCTCATAGCTTGCGTCTGTCTAGATTCGTCATGATCGATCAGTCTGTGGCCACGATTTATAACCCTGAAATCTCAATATGCCTTCTGTTCCATTTGATTGAATCTCCATCCACGGTCACGTTCCGGCAGGGCGTCCCCCCATCCGAATTCTGCCTCCGGTCGAGTCGCCTCCACCACTCAGAAGCCGCGACCGTTGAAATCCACCAATCACATCGTGAAAATCTGCCTCATAGAAGGCCTGCGTGCGGCCGCCGCCGGTGATCGGGCATGATCGATCAGTCATCGGCTACCCTACAATCGCACCCAATAAATCTTCATGTTGGGTGGAATCTGAAATCATGGATAATTGAAACTGCAATACAGGGTTGTTATTTTGCCCAAGGACAATTGGACCTGGGGCTTCACTTCCGGCAAAAGGTACGTTGGGCCCATTTGGCCATTTCCAGTTTCTCTACTTCCATCATGAAGCCAGTAGAGTGCAAGAGCTCCCAGCCAATTTTGCTCTTAATTCTTCTGCGGAGTATGATGAAACCACGTAAAAAAAAGCATTAACCTTTTTGTAGTGGTCAATTACTTTTGTTTCTTCTCTGTAACCAACAATACGATAGGATTGTCATGTGTAAATTGTAACTAAGTTAGAATGGAAGTCTGAATTTGCTGCTGCAAGATTCGGATGTGAAAGCTCTGCTTTGCTTTCCATGGTAGTTAATTTGGCATTTGTGGGTATAATTTTGGATTTTAAATATATTGTTCCTTTCACTTCTTGATTGAAACTTATTAAGAGAGGTTCATTATGAAGGCATTGAGTTGATTTTTATGTGAATCTTGCAATTGAGTTTATTACTGAATCTTACTCATCTCGATTTTTCTTACTCCTTTTTTCCTATTTTGTGGCGAAGGAAGCGTTGCTTCCTGCCTGTTGATTTCCGAAGAGTTAGAATCGACCTTTCATATGCTGAAAACATATGTTCTTCTTCCCTACCTAAATCTTTATATAAGGCCATTTGTCAATCCATTCTCATGTACTTTCCATCAACTCTTTTGGTTATGATTTGAAACCAATAAAATACTAAAACCTGATGTAACAAATTCGAAGTTAATAGTAAAAATTGATTGCGACAAATCCTTAACGATGGGAAGAGTAGAGAATTGATAGGAGTAAGTAGTTCAAGCAGTGTCCAATGGTCTCTTGAACTCCAAGCAAGGCAAGCACGATGTAATAATTATCTCCGTCCCTATTTCTCTATATATGTATGGATTTGTTTGGAGTTCAAGAAAATGTACTATCGATAAAATTAGTAGTTCACGATTGGATTTTACTGATGATGACTATGCAATTGTGTTACCACGTACTGACTGTTGAATCATGTGAAAGTTTTGAAAACTTCGTGGAAAAATTTCATCAATGTACTTTGTTGTAGAGTCATCCAATATAATGTTGCCATGTGAGCCAAGTGAACCCAGTTTACCAAGAAATGATCATCTTGGTTGTTGATTTATTGAATCTCTTTTACTAGGTTTCCACATTTGGTTTATTTGTTGTGCAGCTATTTGAGAACTTCAATGATATAGTCATAGTCGGACATACCATATTTCAACATGAGCAACATCACCACTGCTAACGAGGATCAGTAAAGGAATCAAGACTTGCATTCAACAACCGGACAACAATGTTATGTTAAAGCCAAGACTACACAACACAAATTATAGCAACGAAAACACTAGGTTCCAAGATGTGAAAAGTACTGTAGTCCTCATAAGCATTCTGGAGTTGCAGCAACATGCTTAACTGTAACGCCCAGATAATAATGCAACGTTAAGATCATGAACTTGGAAAGTTACATCCGAGCAGATAGATTGTTGAGATTACAATTTCTTACAAAAGATTACAAGATGGAAAATAAACATTATCTTGAACACTTCTTTTATGCATCTTGAACAACTTTCCCAATGTTGCCTTTTTACCATTCCATATTTGAGTAAAATATTTGGCACAACAAAGCACACAACACTAACAATCAGATAGTATGTGTCCATATGGCATAAAATTAAAAATTAGGTGACACTAGAACACCATAGAAGAAAAGAGCTTTATAACAAATAACAACACAACCTTGACAAAAACCAGGCGTAGGGCGCGCAGTACTTTGAACCCAAATACATTACCTACAATGGAAGTAAACATGTTAGTAACAGAACCTTCTTCAAAAAGGTCTAAGGGGTAAGCTACATAAGCAATAAATTGACTTTCTTCTCCGGGAACGGGTTCAATGTGGTAGCATCGTCCTTTATAACGATCAAGGCTGGTAAGCCAAACATCTGACTGCATTTTCCAACTGAAATGGAAAATTACGACCGAAATTGAATTGTACATCCAAAATAACCCTAAGAAGACATGATCCCAAGCGGATACTTGACATGTACCTCCTCTTCCAGGTCCATCGCAAGGGAAGCGAAAACCAATCTAAGTGTAGTCCTTGGTGTATTAATTTTTTTTTGGAAATGGAGTGTGTGCGAGTTGTTTTTTTCAAGAATAAGCTGGATTGAACCAGCTGTATTTTTTTTTTAATTATATTAATTAAAAAAAAGTGCATGATCCTGCGAATTATCAAATATGAACTTTTTTAGAATCTTAGTGACAATTAACCCGCCCATTATTATACAACAAAAAAAGCAGGCCAATAATAAGAATAAACCACTCGGCTCAATCGGGTTACTTTGGCCCAACATCTATGCTGATGCAAAACAAAGCCCTTGGACCAGTACGGTCCGCCAATCAGGCAGTCACCCGAAAGCCCAACAACTGAACTAGAAAAAAGAACTGGAACTTAACTGTAGGAGAAACCTACGAAGCAAAATCGCCAGAAACATCATCAGACGAAGGAAGAAGGGGAGATGGGGTGGTAACCAAACAAATAAAGGAGGAACGGAACACAACAGGCGGTGTAACACAAATCTTGGTCGTAGTTGCGGCTGGCCGTTCCCTCGCCCCCGATTCCCTCGCACCTTCTCTAGCTTCCTCCCTTCAATTTTTGGTCTCCTCTCTCTCTCTTTCCAACTTGTTTCCCATGGAGAAGAACTGAAGCATTCATTCTTTCTGGAAAATTTCCGATCCCGGATAAGGTTTGGGATTGTTCCGTTTTTGTGTTCGGTACTGCTCTCCGTGTGTTCCCTTTCTGTTTGCTTGTGATTTGCCGTTTGCTTGAACTGGTAGAGGAATGGAAGACAATTGCAATTTGAGTTTTTGGACAAATTTTGATTGCCGTGAAATTTGAACTTGAATTTGATTAGGCTGCTCCGTTTTGGTTTGATTTGATTGCTGTTGATCTTCTCTGTAGCCACAATGTTCTAGTGCGTAAATATGAGGGTGCATTGTTTAATGTAGCTGCAGAGTGGAGTTCCTATAGTCGAATTGTGCGCATTTGTTTTTTTTAAGTGCCGGGCTAGAGAGGGGACTGATTTTCTGTGAATGAATAAATACCGAAACACATAGGGAGATGTTTATAAGTACTGATTGGGATTCAAGAATTGGAAAAGAGGCTACTTTTCTGGATTGAGAACGATCGGGTATCCTTGGTTGCAGAAGGGGAGATGGATGATTGCTGGAGAGAGAGAGAGAGAGAGAGAGAGAGAGAGAGAGAGAGAGAGAGAATGAAAGAACACAAGGAGATAGGAGCTAGCCTCTATTAGATTTCGAACCAACTCTGCTTATCTGTTCTGCCAGCTTGAATGGCGATTGTGTTTATAAATGCCAGCAGCATGCTAGTTAACAAACTGTGTGTGTTGGATGACAAGTTTGTAGTTTACCTCTTTAGGATTCTTAAAAACTTGCCTGTATAAAACATGATTAAGTGTTGTTGTATTTGCAGTCCAGTTCCTCTCTCATCCGTAGCGTGTTGTTTTCTTGTGCTTTTTATGCAGGGGTGGTAGAATATTGGAGTAGGGAGGTGCAATGTATGCAAGGATAATCAAGAGTAGTAATCAGAAGTGGGGTTCAGTCTTCATGCCTTCCATACAGTCAATTAAGACAAACACCATGGATCAGGCTTGTGCTCGATCTCTAGTCCATACAGCCGCAGTGCGAGTATGCAACACCAAAAGAAGTTCATTAAGGAAATATCAGTTTAATTCATTTGCATCATGTGGCAGTGGTAGTTTTTTTAGTAGAAGGTTCAGCACATATCCTAAAAGGTTGCAGTTCCGTGCATATAGTTCGGAGGGTGATGGACGCAATACAAGTGAGGATAAGCGTGCGTCTCTAAATGGTGCACCTAATTTTGATGATGGAAAGGTACAGCCTGGGAAATTTGGAGGAAATCCCAGATATTGTGACACACATGCTTGTCTAGG